TATATATATATATATATATATATACACACATATATATATATATATGAAATATCCTAATTATTCTATGATGCATATACACACCTGTCAGAAGCATGTGTCATGCAGACTTCCATCTGCTAAACATTTTTGTTATTTTCTCTCATAAAAAAAAGTTATTGTTGGAATTAATGCTCTTGGCTTCTTATATTAAAGAATAAAAATAAATATCATGGAGGCATCTGGATAAACTAACTTGTAATAATAAAATAATATGTTTGATTAGTTTTTTTATTAATTGTCGCTATTAAGTGATTAGGACGTGCAAATTAGAAAATTTAATCCATACCCATCATCTTTGCACTCGCCTAACACATTAAACGACTTTTTTTTAATTATTCTTCTCCATTATTAGAAGACTTTGTACAAATTTGTGGATTAATTTCTTTCGTGGGTCCCACCATAATTTCTTCCATATGTTTTCATAACAATTTTGTTAGGTATGGCTCCTATACCATTAATGAGACACATGCTGGAGCGGAGCCCACGAGCAGAGTGGAGCGGAAGGATCTGTCCAATCGGGAGAGTTTCATCATGTGGGTTGAAGGTGTGGGGGCAACACCCCATGATTTGGTACATAGGTAATTTAAGTAATTAAGTAATCACATATTAGACTATAGGGTTATATATATATATATATATATCATGTTTGTAACACTACGTGAGATTCTGAATTTTACATTCTGTACTTTTTTCTGAATATTGAAAATAAAGTCGTCGCTCTACTCCCGAGGATATATATATATTTGGCGAACCTCATAAATCTCTCTGTGTTCTTCTGAATTTGTGTCTCTCTGTGTTCTTCTGACTGTGTTCTTCTGAATTTGTGTCGATTCCTAATTTTCTTCGCCCTAATTTCTCAACAAATTTGATGCGATAAATCTATATATAAAAGAACATCCGGGTTAAAAAAAATTGAGTAAAAATTAGATTTTTGATGTGATGTTAAAAATTTAAAATTTATGATTTTTAATATTAAATTCTAGAAGTAAATACATAATGTTTTTTGGATATGTAAATGTCATTTTTTTTCAGGGATAATAAGAGAAATATCATCGAATATTTTTATATTAATATTAAAATAGAAAATATGAATTGAAATTTATCATCAATTTTGATAGTTGAGTGATGAGCGAATATTATGTAAGTCGTGGTTGATATTAAAGTTATATTATATACCTCAATATCATCCTAACACCATGAATAACACCCTAATAATTTGTCCATCGTTGTATAATATTTTTCCTTGATGAGGATTAGGGTGGTTGATTTGTAATAATTATTAAAAAGCTTTTCTTTTCTGGCCAACGTAATCATTAAATTTATCATTTTACATCCAATCACACTATGCTACAATTAATATTTATATATATTAAAAATATTCGTTATATTAATTACTATTATACTACAAATTAATTTTAAACAAATTGTCGATAAATTAAGGTGAAGAAAAACAATAAATCGACATAAATCCAGAAGAACACAAAAATTTAATAAGGTTCGGCAAAACTGCTTACGTCATCGGGAGCAAAACGACGATTCCTTTTAATATTCAGAAAATTTTACAGAATTCAGAGATACCTCCTAGATTACAAACAAGTCTATTTATAACCCCAAGAATAAACCTTAAGTACAATATATAATTATAACATTACCCCTGTACCGTTCCGCGGAGCGTTGCCCCCGCACCCCTAACCCCATAATGTAACTTTCTGATTTGGACATATTCTTCCACTCTGTTTCGTTCCAGCGTCTATTCGTATATGTTAGTCGTACCAAAACACAAATTCTATTAATTAAAATTGCAGAGCCTAACCCATCTTTCGAAATAATTTAAACTAAATTTTAATTAAAAATGTTTTTAAAATTATTATATTTATATTAAGATAAATATAACACCCTGCTAATCATTTAAACTTAATTAATATATATTTCCAAGAAGGTTGAGATAAAAGAAACAATAATAATAATGATGATTCACCCATAATTTCTTCTTATATTATTACCGATAAAACAAATATTTACATTACAAACCCTCCAAAACACTCCAAATATTAACCAGGCAGCAGCATATGCTTAAAGACCAAACACAACAGCTTCTTCTATTTACAAGATGCTTTGCTCTCCAAAGACATTTCTTCACTCTTCTCAGACCAAACTGTAAAATTCCTTCACTTCACCTGTGCTTGCTCCTTGTCTCACCACTATACATCCTGCAAAATAGATAAAATAAAAATAAAATTTAAATCATACATATTTAAATTTTATTTAGAACAAAATAAAATCTGTCGGATAACACAAGAAAATATTCCTCTGGTATTATTTAGGTGCTATTGTGTGTTATTTAAATAAATAAAAAAAAGAAGGTATTGACCAGTCATAAACAGTGGGAGAATTGGGTTGCGGTTTATCGAACAGATCTGATCCGAGCGCCTTGGTGTTAATATTGCTTCCAGGGTGGAAGACGCTTCGCCAAACATTAGCTTTCTTCGCCGTTGAAGTCGCAGGAGATACGGGCGTCACCGGCGTGATCGGCGTCGTCGGTGTCGCCGGCAACGACGACGATCGCTGGTAAACCTTCCCGCTGCTCTCCCCTTCTCCACCTTCACCATCCATATCAGATTACAAGCAGATTTAAGTTAGATGAAGTAATCAACTACTCTGCTCAGATCTGCAGAACGATATGGATCGGATGATATTATAGGTTTGATTACCTGGGGGGTTGATGACTAAGGGTTTGGAGGACATCTTTCCTCGGAGCTTACCGAGGCCTTTTTCAGGGTGAGGCCCGGCGAGAACGTCGTCCCAGAGCTTATCAAGAAGAACCATTTTCGCTCCCTGTCTATCTCTCGCTGTGAATTACAGTCTTGAGTTCTGTATTTTGGCTTTAGGGTTTATGATTTCGGGTTGGTGAGGGTGGTGCCATTAATAGTAGAAGATGGGGGTTAAGGTTACCTCAGGTAGTTTTACCGGGGATGGTAGACATTTGCAAGATGGTTGAATTAAGTGGTGCTGATATGTCAATAATTGGAATGTTGGGACTAAAAAGGCTATGAGTTTATTATTGGAGTATTATATTAAAAGAATGGTTATATTTTGTTATATTTGGACTAATAATTCCTTGAGTTAACTGAAATGATTATATTGATGTGAATTATAGGTTAATTATAAATAGTATTAATTCTCAAAAATTGAGGATTTATGAATAAAATGTAATAGATATGAATTGTGGTATCTTATATTGCATGATGGATATATACTGAGCATTAATATGTTGGACATGCCAGTAAAAGATAATTGATGACATTTTTTATTGTATTCTATATTAGGAAGATAGACATCAACTTTCGTATAGATGTTGGGCTCAACATTATTGTTAATAATAGTCATTAGTTATTGTAAAAGTATTGTTGGATATCGACATTGATGGTGATAGCAAATATCTGACTTTCGATAATGGTGAACATTGGTTTTAATTTGTTAGTGATGTTGGAGATGTCGGTAATAGATAATTGATAGTATGTTTAATCATATTTTGTATTAAAGAAGATTAGTGACATAAGAGATATACTTACAATTAGACATCAACTTTAGTGTGCATGTTGAATGTTAATATTGATGGTAATAATAAGGGCTAGCTATTATAGAAATGATGTATATTAGCCTTGGTGGTTTGTTTTATCAAAACTAACTCTAAATGGGAAGATTTGTTTTATAGTGGTTTGATAACTGGTGACTACATTCATAATAAGTTAAGGGGGTTTTTTTTGTCAATTCATCATTATAATTCAATTTAATGAAATAAATTTATCATGGGAGGCAATTTAAGTGTCATAGTGCGCCTTTGAGGAGCCAACAAATTAAGAAAAAGGTACTTGTAGGTCTGAGGAGCTTTGGAGATGGCACATAATGTAAAAAGAGAAGGAAGAAGTCCTTTTAGATTGTTATATGGGTGTTTGTTTATAAGTTAAACATATGAAAACACTATTACTCATGACTACTTTGTATTTGAGAAATGGAATGTGTTATGAAACATTATAGAGGAGCGCTGCATGGATGACATGTTGTAAGAATAGGATCACACAAACATAGTTTTCATGAAAGTTTGAAATGGTGATAATATTGAGAAGTAATATCTGCCTGACAAGGTGAAATCATACAAGCTATATATATAAAGATAAGAATTTTGAGAATGCTTTCTTGTGTCAGTTAAAGGTCAAAAGTAAGATGGTTTAAGCCAAATAGTTTAGATCTGTTCACAACTAAATATATTTTAGTCTAAATTAAAATATAAATAAAAAAATAATTAATTAAAGAAGAATGATAAATAAATAAATGTATGTAAAAATGGCCGGACTACCTTTCCTTTCAAGAAAAAAAAAAGTTGATTGTAAATCTCATGCAATATCTTATATCACTCAATCAAAAATAAAAATAATTGACAAATTCCAAATAATTAAAATTAGTTTTTCCATAATAATGAATCGCCAAGGTTTCCTGCACTAAGTTTCTAAATTTTGCATAAATGTTCTTTTTGTCAATTTGTGCTCCCTTCAAATGAGAAATATTTGCGTACGTAAGTTCGGGAGGTTATTCAGAGAGCATAGGGGGGTTATATCCGCGCTATACCTCCTGTAACACTTCTGTAACCTACTTATAACCTATAATTAAGTTCTACACTCTGTAGTTTCTGTAGGTACATGTAAATTACAAGGAGGTTACAAGGGAATATAATACGGATATAAATCCCATGTACCCTTTCAATAATCTCCGATGTACGCAGCGATGCGTAGGTCTTACATATGCAAATATTTTCCCCTTCAAATTAATGGTAAACATTTTAATACAAATATACAATTTGCAGTGGATGCATTTACAAAACTTTTTTATTGCGCGGTAGGTGGTGAGAATAAGTAAATTTACTTCCCCTGAAAACCGGGTACTGCTGACAGCGTGGCGGATAAGGATTGAGGGCAAATGGGCCCCACCAAAATTATTTTGAAGTACGGCCTCGGTGGATCCGCCGGGGGTTTCTCGCAATCGAACAAGTGTCTCGCTTGCCAGACCGACGGAGGAGATTGTACTTTCATTTGTAGGCTTTTGTTTGGGCCCCCAAAAGTTACATAAGTTGGGCTGCAAAATTTCATCGGCCCGTTAATGTCTGATAAAAACTGGACATCCAATGAAGGGCAAAAGTTAGTTAAATCTAATTTTGATTAGAAGAAATAATTTTTGTAGGGAATTTTACTTAAGGAACCCTGGAAACGATCTCTTTCATAGAAGAAAATATTATGTTCGGATATTGCACGTACGAATGAATAATCAACGACGGTCACATCATCATACACGTCGACGGCCAACGAAGTGGAAGCTGGTGATTGGCCGTCCGAACAAAATATTTTTTTCCTTTGACCAACTTCCCTGTTGGACTTTTTTGAAGCTCCTTCTTCCAACTAAGGCGGTCAAAAAAGCTCGTTGTCGACGAACAGCTCGTGTTCGGCTCGTTAAGTAGCTCGTGTTCAACTCGTTGTTTTAACGAACGAGCCGAACAAGAACAAATTTTTAAAACTTGAATTATAAACGAGTCGAACACGAACAACTCTTTGTTCGCTCATGCTCGGCTTGTTTTAGCTCGAAAAAAAATTATACGACTATTTATATAACAATATATTATATATATTATTTATTTAATAATATATTATATATATTTATGTATAAGTTTAAATCATAACACCTCATGTTGCAATGTGATTAGTGTATTCTTTTGTATATATTTGATTCAGGTTCGATTCCCACGTTTTATAACTATTTTTCTCAATTTAAGTTTAACGAGCCAATTTCGAGCCGAACACGAACACGAATTTTTAAATCGAGTCGAACACGAACACACTATTCAAAAGCCGATTTCGAACACGAGCTATTTCAAGCAAGCCGAACATGAGCCCAGCTTAAGCTTGCTCAGGCTCGGCTCGTTTACAGCCCTACTTCCAACTTCTTTTTTCCACGCAAATGTCCGCACTCATCCTTCATCGATTTCAGCTCTTTTAATGTTATTTTTCTAGATTTTCTTAAATTTTTTCTATCCCTATTTTTTATTTTTATTTGTTCTCCCCATTCTTTGATCTTAAATTCCATTTGTGGCTTTATGAACGATTGCTGGTCTTCATTTCTAGTGATTTTGAACAAAATTACAATACGAGCTGCAAAACATTTGAATGGTAAATATTATTTATCCTATATATTGTTCTTAGCCATGAATCACATACTTATAAAAAATTTCCTTATAATTTGTACCTTATGTTTTACATGGATTAAGGCTAGCACGAGACCACCTTAAGATGGATATGTGCTTCTTTTTCTTATTTATTTTATGAGGTTGTAATGAGATATACTTGTGGAACTCGATTAGGTCTAATAGGATTGCAAATCTCTCTTATTTGTTGCTATAAATATTTCTTAGGCTTATATGATCTGAATTTATATTATCATGCTTGTGAGCTTGATTTTAGATTACACCAAACATACAAATTTATGTAGAGCTTAATCTTCTTGTGTTATATATGCTAGCGTACACATCACTTAATTTTTATATTTTTTATCTCTAATAGAACAATAACAAGTAAGAGCCCAAGCCTTTCGTCAACATCACTAAGAATCAGTAATTAAAAAAAATTAATATAAATTATAACTTGTTGTGTACAATATATACAATTTATAAAGATAAAAGTTATGGAATAGAAATTTAACATTGTCCAAGATTTCAAATGAATGAATGAAATGAGTAATGTAATATTTGATGACGAAAATATGATTAAGAAGAACTTTGAAGATGTCAAATTGCTTATCAGAAGATTGATTTATGTCGATATTGTAGTAATATCTATTATGTTATTATTATTGGGACACCGACGTTTTTGTTAAAGTTTATGAACTTATAAAGTTGCCTAAATATTTTGAAGTTTGAACTCTTGTAAATTGAAGTATGTGTTGTGAAAAATGACGACAATAAAATGAAAAATGAAATGAGAAAAATTGCACGCATAAAAAATACCAGAGCGACACACAGATTTACGTGATTCGACAAATTTGCCTACATCCGCGGAGCTGCGAATGATTTATTTCTTTGAGGAATTATACTGTCGAGCATCTTAACGTTTATAAGAAAATCTTTATTTTCTTCTCCCTTTCTCTCTCTCTCTCTTCCTCTATTTCTCTTAACTCCCAAGATGACTTGACTTGGTCTTGCTTGGCTTGTTTTTTCTGTAAATCAAAAGAGACTATTTATAGAAATCATGAGAGCGGTAGGTGAGAGATATGTGAGCGGTAAGTGGGATGTGGTAGGTGAGTGATAGGTGGATGTGGTAGGTGAGCAGTAGGTGGGTGTGATAGGTGAGCGGTAGGTGGGATTCGGTGGAACGGGTTTCCACATTACCCAACAATTCTCTCACTTGGAGACTGAGACATTGAATGCATCACCTACTAGCTGCATCATCTACCAGTTGTACCGACCTTTTCCTCAAACATGATATCTTCCACCTCTGCAACTTGAAGCCCATGTAATATGAAAGTTATTTTGTGATTTTAAATGCCCACCGCTTAATTTTTTTATACAATGAAATCCATTTCTACAACTAGATCACACGAGTCAGCATACAACATGTCAAAACAAAATATGATTAGACACCATTTCAAAATCAAAATGGGAACAAGTGATCCAAATCAATTTAAAATCATCATAATATTATCTCGATACCACATCAATGCCGACCCTAATCCTCTCTCAACTCTCTCTCATATGACTCGTTAGACAACTCAGTAATGAGTCTGTGCAGCTCATCCCCCCCCACCCCCGCCCCGCCATTCTCCACCGACTCTCGACTCGCCGCCTTCATCTGCTTTACCCGCTCCCTAACCGCTCTCCCTTCCTCGCTCTCCTCCATCAACCACCTCACCTTCCTCTCCACCTCCTCCGCAGTCACCCACCCCTCTCGCCGGCGCTCCGACGCCATCTCCGCCGCCAAACTCATCTCCGTCGCCATCAAAAACGCATTCAAATGCTGCTCCGCATACATCGGCCAAGCCACCATCGGCACCCCACACCACAAGCTCTCCAGACTTGAATTCCAGCCCCCGTGCGTCACGAATCCCCCCACCGCCATGTGACCCAAAATATCCATCTGAGGCACCCATCCCTCCCACACCATCCCCTTACCCTTCGTCCTCTCCCGAAACCCTAACGGAAACCCATCCTTCTCCCCGTCGGCGAGCCGCAGGATCCACAGAAACCTGTACCCGCTCCGCTCAATCCCAGCCGCCGCTTCCCCAGCCTGCGCGGCCGTCATCATTCCCATGCTCCCGAAGCAGAGGAACACCACCGAAGCCGCCGGTTGCTCGTCGAGCCACAATAGGCATTCGTGCCGCTCGCCGGAGGACGTGGATAAACGGAGAATCGGTCCGATCGGATGAATCGGAGGAATCGATTCATCCAATTCCATTGCGGAGATTGCCCCTTTCTCGAGCGCACGGAAGGTGTTCACTAAAATACCTCTGACCTGTTTAAGCCGGTGCGCGTGGTAGATGGACCAGGTGTACAGACGGCTCTTCTTGTTCATAATGGGGCTGGGCATCGACAATGGCGGGATCGGGGGCAAGCCAGGCACGTGAACCCGGTCATGGAATTGGTGGAATTCGATGGGGATTTCATCGTGGAGGGTTGGGAGATGGAGAACCAGGGAGAGCATAGAGGCGTTGAAGGGGATGTAGGCGTAGGTAGGGATTTGAAGCTCGTCAGCGGCGTCGATGACGGCGGTTGCGAAGAAGTCGATGATGAGGGCGGAGGCGGAGGTGGTGGCGAGAGCGGATTTGATGTGTGGGGTGTAGAGTTGGAAGCAGCGAGCGCTGTAATCGGCCATTCCGTCGGTGGATTGGGGTGAGGGGAGGTCGATGGAGGGGAGGTAGTAGATGGAGATGGAGGAGGAGGAGGTGGAGGTTGGGAGGAGGGAAAGGGAGGAGGCGAAGCATGCGGTGGATGGGGTGAGGATGAGGCTGACGGAGAGGCGGCCGGCGGCGGAGGGGTGGAGTAGGAGGAGTTTGGCTAATTCGATGGTGGAGGGAGTGTGGCCGGCGCCGGAAGCCGGTAGGAAGGCCAGGTTAATCTTCTTCTTCTGCTGCTTTTCCATTACTCCGTTTCTCTATTCTCTCTCAATTGATTTTGCTGTGAATTTTAATGATTTGTTGTGAGGCGAATGGGATTGGTTCGTTGGTTGGACATGAGTTAATGTTTATTGGTTGGATATTGAGAAATAAATGTAGTACTAAATTATTTTTGTAATTACCTATTTCTTTTTTGGGGGCATTTATTTACATACATATGATATATATTTTTTAGATAATTAAGTATATGTTATTTAGGTGGTGTTGTAGTAGCATATTATTAACAAGATTTAGCGATGTGTTTAACTTAAATTCAACCAAAAACCAAAAAGATAAGAACTAAATCTAACTTTCCCAAATTTTATGAAATTTCATCTTTTTTAATCGTATTTAGTCTCTTTTATGAATTGAATCCGAATTTACTAATCCTTTTTATCTTTGAAGTGCACTGGATTTGATAAATTCGAATTTATGGGATTTGATAAGTATTATTAAAAGTAGATTAGTCCTAGCATATTGAATTTAAGTGAAAATTTGAAAAATGAAAAACTTTGGTATTTAAATGAAAAATTTTTATGAATTTTGACATTTGAGTTTTGTAAATAGCAATGTTTCAAGTCCTATGTAGGCTTCAAATAAATGTATTTATATAATCAATGCTTAAATTTTTGCATTTACTAATATAATATTTAAATGTTTATGTACATTAAAAAATGTCGGCATTATTAACTTTAAAAAAATATTTTTTTTCTTATATAAATTTTATGAAATCAAAACATTATAAATATAAATATCATATTTTATTTTGATATCAAATTGTGTTTAATCAGGCTGTTGTATATGTTTCCTCACTTGTTAGTAAGAAGTATGTGTTTTCGGGGCTAATTGGTTCTAGGCTTGTGCGTATAGATGTCTTGAATGTTTGATAGGAGGATGCAAGACGATTGAGTGTGTAGAGAATGATATCTTCACTATCTATGTGTGATCCAGCCATTGCAATTCGATCTATCGAATGCTTGATTTCACACAAATAGTCACCCCTATAGTGTTACTTGAGAGACACATGATGGGGCTCATTTTTTTTTTCTTAAATTGATTTGCTCGGGAACTATTGGGGGATTAGAGTCATTCAGTGATAGTGTCATATAGCAGTTGTGGATTCCAAGTTGAGAACTTAGGAAAGAAGTGTAGAGGAGATACAAGGCAGCAACTAAATTTTAATGATAGTTGTGGTCTGGCGGTGATGAAGACCAGACAGTGGTGGTGTGGTAGCTCAACGTTAGTGGTATGGCTGTAGTGTTCTAGTGATTGTTCGTCAGTGGTGGCAGTTAGGCGGTGGTGGTCGGGCAATGATTGTTCGTCAGTGGTGGTAGTTTGAAGATGGTGGCGGAGCAATGGTGATCCTATGGTGGCGGTGGATTGATAAGCGACATCCTATGTAAATACTGTATGAATCTGGGTGATCCCTTTGATTGGATGGTGTTTTATGAGCATTTAAATAGTTTGATTATGTCAGACTTAAATTATCTCGGGCTCGTTGGATTTGGCTCGTCAAGATGCTAGATTTGACTATGAACTTATCATATTTAGATATCATTTGACCATCTAAAATATATTTCAAAGCTTTCAACTATGCTTTAAGTGCGTGATCTGGACCTACTTTGACTCAGGTTTGATCATTTTTTATGTCATCTAATCCGTCTCACTGAGACCATTCACTCGATCATAAATCTATAACACTTGAGTATAAGATATGTAAATACATAAGAATTGTGTTGTATACTTGTATGTGTATAAACACCCCAATTAAGATTAATAAGAGTTTTATTTTATTTTAATTTTTTTTATATTTATTATGCTAGGTTTTGATTCTTTTTTGTGTTGCATGATATGATAATTCAAAAATAATATTCTGAATACAAGAAAAATAAGAAAGATTTACATAAATACCACTGAATTTATATGTATTTACATATCTAATACGTATATTTCTTTTGCATGTGTCACATTATTTATGTATAAAAAAGTGTATTTCACTTTAAGTTAAAATGATGATATTTTTAACATGATAAAAACTATTTGCATGGTATAAATCTAAAAACATAAAATTTAGGTTTTAGATATGAAAATATATAAGAAATTGGTGGATTGTATGTAAATACCCCTAGAAAAAATAGAACCAAGATTTTGCTCTCTTAATGAAACTTAAATCATTTCACATAAGAATCATGCTTAAGTTTATGTGATAACATTTTTTATTTATTTTTGACCAGAGGAGAATCTAGATGCACATTGTGATTAAAAGCATCACATATTGAATTAGAAATTGCATACACTCAAATTTATAATTGAATGAAGTGCATGTGTCATGAATCAAATGACATTAAAAAATAATCTGATTTGAATGCAATTGAGCTCATATCATGCACTTAAAGAATTTCTGAGACATCTGGTGCTGGACCAAATGATCGTGAAATCAAATAAGCTTATATTGATAAAATGTCATACAAAGTTTTGAAACATATAGTCAAATCAAGCATCTCAATGAAACAACTCCAACAAACTTAAGATCACTTAATTCTTATATCATTAAGATATTCAAATACTCATAAAAATGTCATCCTAATCCAGAGAATCACTTTGAGTCGAGTGGTCCATATCTAGCAGTCTTTACGAAGGATGTCAATCACAAAATTTATAAAGAGACATTAATTCTCTTCATGAGGGGGCAGGACCTGGACGAGAAGACTGAAAGGAGCTCCAAGCTCTTGAGAATTCTCGACACCACTTGACCACAATTGTCTGATCGCCGCTGTTGGACCATTGTTATCGCTGCTGACGACACTAACTTCAAATCTGCATCACAAAACCCTAGTCATTGGTCTCCCATTGGCATAACAAAGACTTTATCACTTTTCGAATATTTATATCACTCCTATAGTAAATTCAAATCAATAATGTTGATTCTATATTTGTCCTTTGATCAATCCTAAAGGGATTAGAGCATTAGAAAGGAGGGAGGGAGGGGGAGAGAGAGGGAGGGAGG